TGGGAATTCAGAAAAGGGGTGCTTGGAAAGTATGTCCATGGAATTCCTGGACCCTGTTGAAACTTAACAAACAGAAACAGCTTTGGACCTTTTGGAAAGGCAATGTATGTGAAACATAGCAGATAATTCAAATCTGTATCTTCTTCTCAAGTAAATATTCAGATGATAAGCCAGGTGTGGTGGCTAATGCCTGCAGTCCCAGCATGCAGGAAGTTGAGGCAGGAGAATTGCTATGAGTATGAGGCCAGTCTGAGCTACATAGTAAGTTACTGTCTAGCCTAGGCTGTTCAGATGTGAGACCCTACCTCCAGAAGAAAAAAAAGTCAGATCCTATTAAAAGAAAGACTGGTAACTGACTAAAGAGATGCAAGGCTTGACTCTGAGGCTGTCGCCTGAGGCAGAATGGCTCTTATAGGCCTTTGTCACCTCCTAAGGCTGGCTGGGGGGTCAGCAGACCATCAGGGGTGGCAAGCTTGCACACTTTTCTCGACACATCAGCAGGCAAGTGAGCAGAAGTGCAGTTCCCCTTACCCAGAGGCCCGCCATGCTCTGAGTAGTTTGCAGGCACGCACCCATCAGCGGCGAGCTGCCGGTGGGTGAACCTCTTTACTACAAGAGAAAACAGACAAAAACAGATGTCTGCTCCTCCTGCCAAGTCCCTTTCTTGCATTTTAGGAACCATTCCACAAGCACAGGGAGGGTTCTGTTAATTTCTTTCAGATGATGACTGAGTGCTTCGCACCATGTGGGACCTCCAAAGCCTGGCTTTTCTACTCAAGTGAGCGTTAGTGCTATTCAGCCCTCTCACAGCCAGTGTGGGACTTCTTTTTCCATGTGTAGAAAAAGCTCCATAACCCCACCTGTACCTGGGGACATAAAGGGGTCCATTGCACCCACTGTTCTTGGCTACCTGTAACTGGCAGGATGACTTTTTTCAGACATGGCAGTTTATTATTCGGACATAATGAAACAGTTAGGATCGTGACTGATTTTAAAGAGACTAAATTAATCTTCATTCAAAACACCACCAATTACTATAAATACTTTATGTCCCATTTCCTGTGAATATATAAAGTAATGAGACTTCATGGGCATTTGGAGGATTTGATTGGGGTTGTGTGTGTGGCTAGTGCAACCAGCCTGGGGTTTCATCCCATTCTTTCGTGTTTTGAGTTTTACATTAACTGCAACGTTGTGGGTACTGTTTGCAGTACAGGTCGACCACACAGAAAGAAAGAATATGTAATACTAGCTGTAGTGGCCATCCCAAATGAGGAAACTTAACTGTCAAGGTTGTTGCTATAGGAAACAAATACCAGAAATCTTTGCAGGCCTGGGACGTGACTCAGCAGTATAGTACCTGCCTATCATTCAAAAGGTTCCTGAGTTCAGATGCCCAGGATATTTTCTAAGTCATAGGAAATAGTCACATATATTTAGTTCATTGTATAGTACTTTTATCAGAATGCTTGATTCCCCCGACACACACAACTCGGTTCAGGTTTTTAAACATTTTAATATTTGGGTGTTTTCCCCCCATATTGTTACACCTTGAAGTTAAATTAAAACTCTATAAAGTATGTATAGCTTTCATTAATATTTATTCCAAAAGCAACTAAGACACATTAGAAAGTACTCATGTCTACTTTATCAAGCCCCCTTTTTAAAAGGCTTGAATGTGTAAAATATTCTGTGAGCTTGCTTGAATGTGTAGTCATTGAAATCTTTATAATCATAATATCAAAACTCTCTAAAGTGTTTGGGTGTGCATTTCTTATATAACACATTTAGGTCATTACAGCATATCTTTGTCTAAAAAGTGTTTTTATGACCTTAAATTAGCCAGCTCCTGCTTCATTCTGAACCTCAGCATGATTTAGGAACCATAATCGTGCCCCTCCCCGACTTGGGTGCCTCTGAAACCTTCTGGTTTTGCAGAGTGTGGCTGTCAGAAGACAGCCCCTTGTCCATCCTCTCCCGGCATGCCTGTGGGAAGGAGACATCCCAAAACATGGCAACTTGTCTCCTAAAGTATCAGTCCTGTAACCGTATCCAGTTCCAGAACGTGTTTCTCTCCAAAGTCAAATCGTTGTAGAAGTTGTAGACGTGTTTAACTCTCACACTGGATGGGGGTAGACACTGAGATAAGAGTCTCACATAAATTAGTCTTTGAAGCCAGACTGGCCTTCAACTTGTAGCAATTCTCCTGTCTCAGCCTCTACTAGCTTTGGATTCATGAACACAAACTCTAAGATAAAGCACAGGGCTTCAAGGAAGTTTTGTAGCCAGGACAAGGCTGTGTGGTCATTTTCTTCAATGTTAGCAAATCCTAGAGTGGGGGAAAAAAATCTAATGCTGTAACTGAGAAAATAAGGCCGCCTCCTTAGGTCGCACCTCGCAGTCTGTCTGCCTCTTGACTTAGCTTGCTATAGATACCCCGTGTTCTCTCAATAGACTTGTCCTTTCACCTTTAAAAGAGTTCATCCCCCCCCCCGCAATATATCAAGCCTTTATCACACATGTGTTCTTTCCTCTCTATTGATCAGTAAGCTTCTAGAAGGTGGGGCTGAGGACATAGTTGCTTTGTAGTTAGAGTCTGGGATTCATGGGATACATTGGAAAAGCCCTTCTTCTATGAAGCCGTTTTCAGGGAGCAGCGACTATGCTTGTGTAGGTCTCCACAGGAATGAAGCTTCAGAGACTTGGGCGGTTGGACCCCAAATGAGATGGCTCTTGGAGGAGCTGTGTCATTGACTGGGTGACATTGGTGGGGGCAGCAAGTGAAGTGAAAAGAAAAGGATTAAGGCTTCCTCTCTTACCCCACCTCAGCACCTGAAGACAACCTTATTGTCTTTCCTTGTGCTTTGAAACACTGCATGCACTATTGCCCTACATCTGTTAAATAACTTGCCTCATCTTCAACATTAAAGATAATACATTATCTGACTGACAATAGTATGTTTTGTTCAGTATCAGATAACCCATGGTATCACACTAAACCCTTCTAATCTCGGATAAAAAGCAAAAATGTGTGCTGCTTTGATTTGCTTTGCCCATGAATGGTCCATGAAGGAGATTGTTCAGTTGCTTGGTGTTGGACCTACCCGTAACATACCCTAGAACCTGGATCACCCAGGCTCAGAGCCAGCACTCTTTGCATTTGGACTGATTGTGTATTGCCTTCTTTCTCACCTGGTCTGGGAAGTTCTAAGGGCAGTATTGATTGTCCAGACTTCTGTCCCTTTTAGCTTTAATTCTTGGGAATGTCAGGACAGTTGTCATTCTGTAGGAAACTGAATTGTTCCAGTGGTTTATCCGTCCTCCTCTTCGTTTACGTACGAGGTGCCGGAAGTCAAGCCCAGGGTCCCATGCCAGACAAGAGCTTTAACAGTGAGCTGAAACCCAGCTCTAGATGATTTTAAATCTTAAAAAGACAGACAGGGCACAAAAGGTTAGTGGTTGTTATTGCTTGAAAATTATATAAAAGGAGAGATTTCCTTTCAGGTTTATTTAATGCTAAGTTACATTAGAAAGACTTTGTACAAATGCAAATTCAATTGCATTTGAAATATGCATTCAATGCCTCATACATATTTTTAGAACACCGTGTTCTTCAGAAATTGAGGAAACCATAATGAGGATATTATTCTGTTGCCAAAGGCTAAGACATCAATTAATGGCTTTTCCAATAGCACTTCTGAAAGAGAATCAGCTCCTGTGCATCAGTGTGTAAAGATAGAATTGGAGGACTGGGGATACAGTTCTTTGGTAGGACACATGCCTAGGAAACTCAAAGCCCTGTGTTCGTCTCCAAAACTAGAAATGGGGAATGTCAAAGGAAAATTTGAAGTGATGTTTATACCAACCTCAGTTGTATAGGTGAACTTTGACTTAGGCAGAAAATATTCTCGTTGTCAGATGGACTTGCCCTACTGGTTTTTATGGCACACTCTTCATATGTGTACATAGCAGTCCCTGGGTACCACACAGTTCAGTCATGTGTCTTCATATGTGTGCATGGCAGTCCCTGGGTACCACACAGTTCAGTCACGTGTCTTCATATGTGTGCATGGCAGTCCCTGGGTGCCACACAGTTCAGTCACGTGTCTTCGGTTCGAGCTCTTTCCAGACTAACAAAGGAAGGCAAATGATCCGATGCTAGTCTCTTCTCAAACTCAGTGTGCTTGTCAATTAGCTGCACACCTTGTTAAAATTCAGCTCCTGGTTCTGCACGTGCAGTACGGGCCTGGGGTCTACACTTGTAATCTGGTACCCGGCAGGTGCAGTCTGCTGGCCTGTGAATGCTAGAGGACCCTTTGTGGAACAAAGACTGACTCAACCTGCCCTCCTCATAGTGCCGTATTGTTTGCCATGGCTTACAGTTTCTTGTTTAAGTTAGGAGCTATCCTTTTCCTTCTGGTGACTAGAATGGAGCCAAGTATGGTGGGGCAGACATCTCTAATCTCAGCACTCAGGAAGCTGAGGCTAAGGGGTGTGACGTAGTGAGAACACACGTGTATCAAAAAGAGAAGAAAGGAAGAAATAAAGTGGTATGGATTCTACCATGGGGAAGTGGAGGAGAAGTCGAACCCAGTATGTACTGGATTCCATAGGGTTGGTCCAGAATCTTTCTCCACAGAACTCCAAGCTTAATTATTAGCAGCAGTGAGCTTGGCATGAACTTCTGAAAACAGCAGTGGTTGGTTAGTCTTGAGTCACTGCATGCTACTGACACTTGTTTTGTGAGAACATCTTCCCCAACTCGATGCAGACCAGTGGTGCCACTTCCACATCTGCTACACATGACACTGGGGACCACGTTTGGCATGTGCAGGCTGTACAAGACATGATTTTCAAGTGTCCGAGGTGGCTTAAGTGTTCTGGACACGCCACAGTCTCACTATGTAATGCTTAAAGGACTCACAGATCTGAAGGAAAACGTGCTAGCACGGTGTCTCCCTCTGCCGGGAAGTGACGGCTGACTCTCTGCTCTGCCTTAGCAACAGGAACAAGATCCGACCAACCTGTACATTTCTAACCTGCCGCTGTCCATGGATGAGCAAGAACTTGAAAATATGCTCAAGCCCTTTGGACAAGTTATTTCTACAAGGGTCCTGCGTGATTCCAGTGGTACCAGCCGTGGTGTTGGTTTTGCCAGGTAAGTGCACTGCCATCTCCTTAGGAACAGTTGTGGCTCTGCTAAGTCATTCTGGAAAGTGAAAAATGACCAGAAATAGAACGTTTGAGCCAGGGTCATGGAAGTCAGTTGTACTGAGGACTTGAGTCACTCATGTGACTTTACACATGAGATTTTCCAAGCCTTGGAAAGTTCTGGGCTCCCCAAACCAAGTACTTTGATGGCTCGTGGCTGGAAGTATCACACGAACATTGGCCCTGGACACATGGTCCTGACAGCTTGACTCCTTACTTCAAGATGCTTGTAACCAACCACAGACGAACAACCTCCTGAGGCTCATAGATAAATCCGTGTCTTTTTCTCAGACAGAAATCTGATTTATAATAAAGCAGGTTTAATAAGGTTTTTTTTTTTGAGCTTACTATTTCAGACATTCAGAAAAGAAAAGGGAGTATAAGACCTAGCCATCTCATCAACTCAGAAGCTACTAACAGTTTATAGTTCTTCAGGTTTGTTTCTCTAATGGCTGTTCTAGGTATGAACACCTAGACACCCCTATCCTGCTATAAAATCTTTGTCCTCCTCTTCCTAGAAAGGACCCTTTAGTGGCTAAAATGGTTTCTAGAGAATTAAACAGAAAGAGCTTTGATTCATGGCAGATTTATAAGCTTAAAGCCCCTACACAAAAGCTGATTTTATAGAGAATTATTTAATAATTTATTAGCCGTGAGCAATGACAGATAACATCAGCATTAAACTGTGAACTGATTTTGGAGAGGAATGCTGACTTAATTAACAATAAAAACAACATTCACATCTTACCACAAACTCGAGATGTCAACCAAACATTTATTTGTCAAAGCATTTATTTCTAAGGGACCTTATCGTTGTCACCTCGCCATTAAGTCACAAAGGCCAGGGCTGCAACTTGGTTCTGTTGGCTTTTAGTCACTTGCTCCATTGGGCCACAGTCTGGGATAAAACCCAGATAGCTTTTCAGCAATGTCAGTAATGCATACTGATTGCGTCATTGGTGAAAAGGCTACGGGCAAGACATTTGGTGCTCTGGCTTCATGTCATTCCTCCTTGGTGCCCTTCTGAATGCAGATCACCCTACAGAGTGTCATCACCCCTTCAGAGTGACGTCATCCCTACAGAGTGATGTCACCCTGACAGAGTGAGACCACCCATTCAGAGTGACGTCATCCCTACAGAGTGATGTCACCCCGACAGAGTGACGTCATCCCTACAGAGTGATGTCACCCTGACAGAGTGAGACCACCCATTCAGAGTGACGTCATCCCTACAGAGTGATGTCACCCATACAGAGTGAGACCACCCATTCAGAGTGACGCGTCATCCCTACAGAGTGATGTCACCCCTACAGAATGACATCACCCCCCCCCAGAGTGATATCATCCCCACAGAATGATGTTAACCCTACAGAGTGACCTCATCCCTCCAGCGTCCAGGAGAATTCTGCTGGCTTTTAAGATCCATCACTGCTAATTAAAACTGAGGTGTGACTGAATGAACCTGAGTATAATCTGAGTTTTGAGAAGGTGATTGGATAGGTGAAGGATATTTCCAAGTCAGAGTCATTAAGTCCCCAGAAGTACTTCTCAGCTGTATTTAGTCACCTGTAGACGTAAAATAAACTGTAAAATTAGGCTCCAGCCTTTAATTCCCGCTCCAAAGTCAAGATGATAAACTACATAATTGAGTTCACTAATTTAATTTTAAACCCGGAGTGAGTGAAAGTTAGAAACACAAAGGCACAGCCTCTGATTAACACGAGCTGTTAGCATGAGAGTTCATGAAAAGAAAGACCATCTTTAAAACAAAAAAAAAATCTGAACTATTGTTTTTAGCACAAAGTTATGGCTAATAAAATTATGAATTACTTTAAATTATGAATTATTATAAATTAAATTTTAAATTTCCAACCATTAGAAACTCATAATTCCATATGACTGCTTTGAGACACTCTTCATAGAATTTACTGTCTTTCATAATTCAGAATATTCTGTCTTTTGCAATTATAATAACTCTGGGATCAGTTATTTTGCTGTAGAAATGCCAGAGCAACAGCCAATGAGAGAGTAAGCCCTCTTTTTCATTATCACACTGATGGTTTTCTGCTAGGTTCCCTTTGTTTCCTAAACCTACAGCAGGAGTTAGACAAGGTCTCTTAGTACTCTGCATGTACAATATATTTATGTATGTCTTATTTTTATATGACTAGGATGGAATCAACAGAAAAATGCGAAGCCGTAATTGGTCATTTTAACGGAAAATTCATTAAGACCCCGCCAGGAGTTTCTGGTATGTTGTTTGCCTAAAGTTTTATCATTCAATTCTTGTGTATAGCATGTATGTAACTTCAGCACACAGTGACTCTTCAGACCCCCAAGCCCCTCGCTCCTCTGTGACGCTTACCTGTTGGTATTGGCAAATATGATTCACATGTGCGCCGGCTAGGAGAAGCTGGAGAGTCGGCTGCAGGTACAGAGCTGACTCGCCAAGCGTCAGAATTGACTCCTTTGACCTGCGGTCTTATTTTAACCCACTCTGCCACCATCCTCACAAGCCTTCCCTGGCATGGGCACATTTCCTGAGAGCTCAGCATCATTCTGCCCTCAGTGCCTGGAGCTCGGCTCCTATGGTCTTTGTGCACACTCGACTTCAGTATTTCTTCGCCTTCATTCTGCCTGTGTTGTCTGTAACCCAAACCACCACACCTCACGGAGCATTGTATGCCAAGGTCACACCCAGACTCCTGGTAGTCCTGTTCTGAAGTACAAGGGGCTCCTCATATTCTTGCTGAGAATTGACTTGTTAAACTGTTTCCTGTCTTTACAAAATCTGGGGTCTGTTGATGCTGCAGTCCTCCCTTGAGTGTCAGCCTCGGCTCCTGTGCGTTCGCTGTAGGCTGTGCCTGCTGGAAGAATGCTTAGACCATTTTCTCTGTCTCTGTGGCGCCTTGAAAATCGGCCGGACTCTCAGCACCACTGTTTCTCCAGTTTTTCAGGCTCCCCCGCAACCTCCCTTCTCCCCCTCGCCCACCCATGCAGCCCTCCAATAGCTTGAAGCGGATGTGACCATACTTCCTATTTAAGGAATAAACTCTGGAGTACCAGAAATGCCACTTGGTTTCTGTGTCCTCTGTTGAAGGATCCATGCCTGTGCCCTGCTCGTTCCATTCCCCTTCCAAAAGGATATCAGAGCTGTTTGCCATCTTGTCCCATTGGGGCCTTGCCATGCCTGCCTTTCCTATAATTGTATCTGCTTTTTGCTTATATCCCATTTTTCCAACAAAAACGAAACATTTTTATTTTGGGATCTATATAATAACATGTCCCTGACAAGACTAATTGGTGAGCAAATGGAAGATAATCCACAGACAGTTAATATGCTACTTTCATTTCTATGGCTGTGATAAAAATGCCCTTAGAGAAAGCAACCAGCCGCTGGTTTACTTTAGCTCAGTATTGCAGGTTACTTTCTATCACCGTGGGAAAGCCACGGTGGCGGCAGGGACTCGCGTCTCATCCACAGTCAAGAGCAGGGAGAGAATGGTTGAATTCATGCCTGCTTGTTTGTGCGTGCCTTGATTTCTCTGTATCTTCCTATAGTTTAGAACCCTCGGTCTAGGGAATGATGCCACCCATAGTGTGCTGGGTCTTCCATACCAGTTCGTTTACAGCCGCCCCCCAGGCATGCCCACAGCCATTGGCACTTTCTCCCAGGCGACTGTAAGCTGTGTCAAGTTGGCAAAACTATCACAATTAGAAACAAGACAAAAAGAAAAAAGTGTATGTAGCCATCATGGGTGATTTTAATCACAGGATTTAGTGATTAGCAGTGCAAACCACTTACCAGGATTTCTCCAGAAGAAGATAATCCATTTGTGTTTGCAGTCATCCTGGCCTTTTGTGATCTCGGAGCTAAGGCTGCATTTCCCTGAAAACACTTTTCAAGGGGAGTCTCACTTCTCATCACTCCTCTGTCCTCCCCAGGTTGGTATCTTCTCCTAGCATGTAGTTCAGTTCCCCTAGGCGAGCATTCTGTGTGTTGTGGCAACTGCAACAAAATAGCGCAAACAGGAGATTAGTGACTCTCCATTCTGAGGACCAAAAGTCCCAGCTGGAGGAATACAAGGTCTGTTTTTGCTGAAGGCTGTGAGGGAAGGGTCTATTCCAAGTATCCCTTTGACTTGCAGTTGGCCATTCTCTTTCTGGGTCTCCGCATCATCTTCCCTCGGTGTTCTTTCATCTATGAGAACACCAGTCACGACGGATGCATGGCCCAACCTAGTGATATCATGAGAACACCAATCATGGCGGATGAATGGTTCACCCTAATGATGTCATGAGAACACCTATCATGGCAGATGAATGGCCCACCCTAGTGATGTCATGAGAACACCAATCATGACGGATGAATGATCCACTATCATGATGTCTTTTTATACTTCGATAGGAACTTTTTAAGTTCCTCTCTGTAATCAGGGTCACATTCTGGGGTGCTAGGAGTTAGAGTTCTAACATGTCTTATTAAAGGGGAGGGCACAGTACGATAGAAACACAGTTGAACACTTGCTCATGACTGATGTCATCTCTGCCATGTCGTTCCCATGTGTCCACTGTTCCCAGAACCAAGGCTGCTGCCCTCACTGCTAGTTCTCTCACTATCTTTACAGCAAACTCAGCAGCATCAGAAACCCAGGACTTGAGTTCCCTGGCTGCCTCTATCCTTCCTCTCTTCCATTCAAATAATCACTCAAGTCCATGATTTTTTTCTTAATTATTTCTGCCACTTCGCTCTATGCCTGCTGTCACTGCCTGCTGTGCCCCTTATCCCTGCCAATGACTTGTACTGTCTGTCCTGATCTTCCTCACATTGCTTTCTAAGTGTCCAGAGAACTTTAGACAAAGTGCATCCTTTCTGTTTCTCCATGCTCCCATGGCCATCACCACGAAGAAAAGACCAAGGAGTCCCAGAACGACACCGAAGGCCGTAGTGACTAGAGCCCTTTCTCCTCAGTGCCGTCCCCAGTAATGACTCACAAGTAGAACCCCTTCTACATGCTGTGTCATGTCTCCCCGTGTTCTCTCCCGTGGCTCCTATACCTTGATCTCTTTGTTTCCCACTAAAATGGAGGTTCTCCCCTTACCTACCTACACTGTTCAAGTCTGTCTTCTCCCTGTGGGGACCTGCTCTGACTCAGCTGAGAATGTGTTACATTCTGCCTGGGGAGCCTCCAAAGGATTCACATCACCATCTGAACACTGACTGAGGTTACACGTGTCAGCTCCCACTATACTGGAAGCTCCTAGAAGCCATTTTCTCATCTTTTTTTTTGTTCGTACCTTGCAGTGATTGAGCTGTACCAAGCAACAGCCAGTGTGTGTTAGTTTTGAATGGATTTCATTATGTCATAGCACTGAGACAGCACTGGCTCCTATCAGAATAGCAGGTGGGAGAGACCGAAGTGCCTTCCAGTTTGCAGTCGGTCCCCAGCATGCTCCCTGCCAGCACACAGTGTCTCCGAATTCAGAAACCACTTTGCCCTGCTTTGAAAGAGACACACTGGAGCTGTTAGAACGGGACAGGAGAGAAGCACCTGCTGCTTTGCCATAGCCTACCCCGCTCAGGCTCGCTTCTGGCTCTGGACAACAAGTCTGTTCTTATAGCATCGTTGCCTGCTTCTGCGTACCCACACCTTGCCCATCTACTCTTGCTTGTGTAGAAGTCTACAGTGGGGTCCCTTCAAGGTATTCCTTCAGTTCCCTGCCCACTACTCTCGCTAGGTCAGCTGCATCAGGAAGAATCAACCCAGAAGCTCCTTGAACTTACCCTGAACCAGGGTAACTGTAGTAAACAACCATGCAGGAACCCAGAAGAGGAGGAAACTGTGCCATTTGGCCAAAGGCATCTTTGTCCCCAGAGTGTGTCCAGCACCTTTCATATGCAAAAAAATCTTTAATCTGGCAGTAGATCATGTGACTCAAACCTGAGTAACCTAGAATATTGGTCAGACCCCATCTTTGAATGGCAATAGCTTACATGTAGTACCTTGGTTTATCACATAGAGCTCAGCCAGAACGCACTAAGGTCTGTTGAAGTTCGTTTCATTCCATTCAGGAGTCACTGGAGTGAGCCGCTGCTCTTAGGCTGTGCAGGGGTAACTGGTGTTGGGTATTTATCCTCCGAGAGCTCCTAGGTTCCATCTTTAACTGGATGACAGATGAAGAGGAGTGGACCATCACTTGAGTTTTCATATCCAGTTCCATTTCTTTTCATGGAGGAACTAATTTGTACGTCTGTGCAGTACCGCAGGCCACACCTGATCTTGTAATATTAAATCCCGACAGCACATCACTTCCGAAGCCACTGTTGGAGGTGAACTGCCCATAGGCACACATTCGGAACATGAAGTCTAGGTCCTGGAAGGACAATTGTCTGAGGAACTCAGCCTAGTGGAAGCCTAGAGTTCCTTTTGTTCTCTGAGTTAGGTTTCTTTTTCCATCAGCACCACTTGGATGCAAGGAGAGAAAGGAGAATGCTTTCACCTCAGAGTAGTAGAAGCCTGCCCTGTGATTTTAGCACAGTACCAACCTGAGTGCCTTCTGCATGCTCAGGATCCCGCACCACCCACCCAAGCTCTCGTCCCTTCCAGGGGCTGATCTGCACCTGCTTTGGACTTTTTTCTTAGTTCATTCTTCATGCAGCAGCAAGGGTGACTGAAAAAGGAAATGCAGCCAGGGCCAACTGATTCAGCCTCAGATAAAAACCTTCCAATTCTCTCCCGAGAGAGACTTCGCAGAGCGTCACAGATTGGGCGAGCAGTTTCCTTTGTTCTTTAAAGGGCTTCGTGGTTATCGTTAGACTGTGTCCTTTGAAGTGGGTTCGCAGACTGCAGGTCACACCCATTCAAGGAAAACCCGGTGATTTCCAGACCACATAGAGATGATTCCAGGAGCCTGGGCAACACTGCAGCTGATAGAGAATAGTTTCTTCCAAGTTGTACCGAGGGACAAATGAGTACACAAGACAGATGAGTCCCGTCTATATTGCCAGCATGGCTGCAGGGAGCAGAGTATTGCAACCGAGCCATCCTCTGTGTTTCCAGCCGTGCTTAATGCTACTTCATTTCCAAATGCTTGGTAATCTCCGAATGTGCTGATCTGGGTTCAGGACTAGGTTGCAAGTTGGTTGTGGGCAGGAGCACTTTTCTTATTTCTGTGCCCCGCCTTGTACCTGCTGGAGTCATTGAGTGGTTTCTCTGAGCATTTGTCTGCAGCACTCATTCCAATACCCGG